TTGGACATGATCTCCAGCAGTCTCCATGCTTGTTACAACATCTTAGGGCACTTTCCAAGTTCAATCCGTTATCAGCCAACGGGTAGCACTAAATGAAAACCTTCTTCACTCTAACCATCAGAGGATCCCGGATCAGGTTTTTCTGCAGTTGTCGAAATCACAATATTCCGTCAAGGTCCGAAGATCGGCAATGAAGGAAGCAACTGACTCCCTCGCACTCTGAACTTGGGTGTTGATCTTAACTCGATGCACAATAACTGATGGTTTTGAATTATAATTATTGGAGACCACTGTGACCAGTTCATTAAATTGTTTGGTGCATAGTAAATAGGGAATTACAAAGCTGAGAATTAATTCTTATGTTTTTCAGTCATAATGGTTGGCGGCATCCGATTTCGGATTTGTCTGTCACTATGGCCAGCCACAGGACGCCTGTGCCTACAGAAGGACCATGGGTGGCTTGCGCTGCACCACCCACAGCTCCAAACACACACTCCATATCCAGTGTAAACCCGAAGGAATAAGACCGGGAGACATGTGGATGGGAGCCACGTTTCATCAATCGAGCCGGCCCACACTCCTTCACAGGCAAACACAAGCACGCTGTATTTGGGGAATCAAGCGAACACAAGGGCGGTGGCTGGACCGTAGTCCGCTCCACACTGAGTGCATGGAACCACTCTTTGATCCTAACACGACCACAAGGACCGTGCACCAAGTCCCCTCCAGCAACGACCAACTGTATTCTAGAGCCATTATGGACGAGGTAGTGGGTAATAGACTGGTAGGCACCTTGTCAACATGCACATCAAGGGCAGCCACACCGGGGATATCAAGCAACAGCCAATCACTTGAGAGAAAGATAACAAAGAAAATAAATCGAGTAATGCAGAAGGAAACGGTGACATAAAATAAGTTGTTTACAAAAGAATCCAAGATAAGTTCAAGAGGTCAGAAAGTATATTTTACGGAAATGCTACAAGCACGAAAATGCTATCGAAATTAACTACAATTGGCTTAAGCGACGTGTGCAAGTTTATAGAAGAGAGTACTGATGGACTTTTATATGAGAAAGAAAAGCATTAGGATAAAATTGAAAACCCACAGCCTGAAATAAATAGACTTAGCATGCAAGCACACGGTTAGTAAATCGAATGCAGCGTGCCTACAAACGCTGCGCTGGTTCTGCCTACATCCTCTGCAGGACCCGTCGTCGCTTCGGTAGTGGTCGCTAGTGGCCTCGCTCATGGCTCACTAGACCTGCCTGACTCAGGCACTCGCGACCGCATGTGCTACAGCACCATGCGCTCGATGTCGATGGAGTGCAACCCATCGATGCTTGCCGCTTCTTCTCTACATGTATGGGGTCTTTCACCCGCATTTCGGCAACTGCCTTCGTGATCAGATCGCACCATGCAGGCCGATCAAGCGTCTTCGATTCCCATGATCTGCAATCAAGATTAGAACGTGAGAGGCTCATTTCGATCATGTCCTGGCAACGTAACCGAGTCACAATACTCAGTAGGATATGCACATTGCGGTTGTCACTGACGATTTCTTTCGGTGAGAATAAGCAATTCCGCAGCTCATTGTGATCGTTCCAATAGCAGGATCCCTCAGTTTACTCCACCAATTTCCCTTTGGTGGCTTTGCTGCTTTTGACTTTTCTGTCGGTAGTATTGTAAGGACACGATAAATATGGGACACGACAAATAAAAGACACGGCTGTAATGTGTTGGCAGGACGAGCTCGTTGTCTGTCCGGTTACAAGCACCACTATTCACACACGAGTCACGTGCATCACCCAACAGGCAGAGGTGGTCATAACCAATCACAGCAACGACCAACGGAGTGTCGACCACCAACGTCGGAGAGACGAAGTGTCTACAACATTTACAGCGTGAAACTTGGCCTTATACGTGTGAACATGACACCACTCACCCTATATATATATATATATATATATATATATATATATATATACATATATATATATATATATATATATATATATATATAATCTCCTAAAACTAATAACCAAGATTCAGGGTTTTAGAGATGTAGGCACCTTGTCATCATGCACCTCAAGAGCAACCACATCGGTGATATCATACGACGGAACACATATTTTAATGAGAAGTAAAACCACAAAATTGACAGGGAGTATGCTGCAGAATAAAAAACTAAACAAAGCAAATAAAGATGAATAATGTTTATCCAGGTTAAGAAGATATACAGTGTGTTCCACATGTTTGGACGGATTGCCGTCGCACCGACCGATACGCAGAAGCCGGCGCAGACACTGCTGATGAAACCGCTCTAGATATCTGACGTCCTTCCGTTACATCGTCTAGCTTTCGCTACCGTATTGAAGAACGGACGGCAAGATAGACTTGTATACTATTAGCTTTGTCTCAACCATAGTCTAATGGTTGTTCCAGGTACGTTTCTTAAGTTTGCCAAATGCACACGCATGCGCAGCTGGATCATAATTTGTAGATCCGCAGACAGTAGGATCGTAAGGTGGCAGAATGACGAGGTGGGTTTCAAAACTTCAACACCAATGAAGATTTGCGGAACACCCAAGGAATCCAATTCTGGAGAATGCTGAAAAACATAAACAGTCCTGTTTGTTTTGGTGGTAAGCCTGCAGCCGTCGAAGCAAGAGCCCAAGTCACGTGATACAACTCATCCGCTCCGTGTCCAAACAACACACAATCTTCAGCAAGCAGCAACATACCGAAGGCTTTTCCCCCACATTCAGTTTCCCGCCCCGAAAGGATGAATGTACAGCAATCCACCTTCAATACGGTGCTACACACGAACACAGTAATCACAATCAGCATCAAAAGTACAAGACATAATTGAATGAAGGTAAACATTAAGCAGGGCAAGGGCTAAAACCTAGCCTTGCTTAACACCAGAGACAAGTGCAAATTCATTTGAGTATTGTACACCCAGCTGCAACCTAGCCAACGTACCACTCTGCAGATATTCACTTATACTTGCAAACTTACTCCAACACCGGATTGGCACCACTCCTAGTTGAATGAACCGACTCGGCATAGAATGGTACACCGCACGGACAAGATAGCCGACAGAAGTCGAATACGCGCACCCAGAGACTTAAACGCAACACGGCTATACACGCAGGTTGAACGGGTTCCTACTCTAACGAAGACTTAACACGCGACTATCCAACCCAGAAAAGAGTAAGAACGAAGACAGGCCTTTTGCCCCAGGCAGTTTTACTAGCCAGATCAAAGCGATTGCAGCGCAGTCCAGCTTTGCTTTATACCGCGATCGTAGAAGGATTTGCATAAGCAAAGCTTGGTAGCAAAGCAAGTGTTTGGCACTACACAAATAGCCAACGGAACATGTAAAATGTAAAAGTTGATACATGTGGTGGAAGAAGGGAGAAATGAATGTTTCTTTGATAAAAATGAAACGGTTATGTCGCGGAAAGTTTGCTGGTAATAGGTATGTTTTCTTAGGTACAAGGACAATGTTTCTTGTCGTGGAGGTTGGCCGGAAACAGGAGCAAAAGTTGGTCGAACATGTACACTCTTCTACTGTCTGTCACAACGACTTATGTAAATTCAAGCTTGCGGTGTTATGGGGACGTTCAGTCCCCATCAGTGCAGTAAGATGCGGGGTGTAATCGTTGATTGAATTGCTGATTTGTGATCAACGTGTAGATTACTTTTTAAGTTGACTGCATTGAGTTGCATCCCGTGATCTTTATCCATTTTCTCTGTGGCTGAATTCGGCGCTTAGTCGTTTTCGTTTAGGCCGCGTCCCAGTATCCTACCTATTTCTTCCTGTCGGGCAGATAGTACGCCGAATGGATATCAATGCGCTTGTTAATTGTATCCTTTGTGAATAAATAAGCTCCTTGTTTTTTCTCTTGCCAGGACTTCTGTTTTAGCCCAAGCAATGCTGTGTCCCTCATCCGCGTGCAATGAAACTCGGGACGATGCATAATGTTTTTTGCAGGTTCTTTTATTTGTTTGTATCCATGATGCCAATTTTCTTCCTGTGGTCAACATACTACGTTTCGCAACTTTTATAACCTAGTTTGCACACCACATTCTTTCGGCCATGTGCTTCCAGTTTTTTTGGTTTTGACGGAGTTTTCTCGAGGTAACAGTGGGTTATTTGCTACGATGAGATGGTGCTATTCGACTAGTCTGGCCGTCATTTCCAATAGGTTCCTCAAATAAGGCAAAACAACGCGTCTTTCCATCATTGGTGTAGACTATGGATGTCCAAAGTCCGGCCCGCGGCCCAAATGCGTCCGCCTTAACATTTCAACTGGCCCGCCTCATCATCATGCAAGGATATATTCAAGCTTGCATTTTTTCCGTACATATGACATTATAAACATTGCAAAAATTAAGAACGTTACGAGTACAAAGTTCGGTGTCGTCAGCTAATGGCAAAAATCAATGAGGTAGTAGTATATATTTTTAACCAACTTGGAAAAGTCAATATATTACTTTAACGAAAGGAGTCTTAAGTAAATCAAACAATACAAAAGTTCTTCAGATCTCATTTTCATCATTCACATTAAAACTTGCAATAAAAAATTTAGAAGATATGTCATTTTTGCTCATCATAATAGCAGACTGAATATTGCCCGACCTCTTTACCTCACAAACTGTGGCGCTCCTTGCGAAAAGTTTGCACACCCGTGGTGTAGACTGTCTGTTTTCGTGCTTGTGGTTGAGACACATTCCGGTGAATTTTCGAGGGTAGATGTTAAGTTGGAAACATTTAAATAAGTACTGCAGTAGCTATCCAACGGAACTACTGTCGTTTTTCAGCACTCGGTAGCCTAATGGCAAAATGTTATTGCGAATTTGTGCAACCGCGAACTTTGGTAATTCACATCAACTCTGGGCAAATCCAGTCAGTCAAAAGTTGCTATGCCTTACCAGATATGTTTTTATGCCACCAGGTGCTGCACAAAACGATTGATTTCCGAATTTTTATTTCAGCAAAAAGTAGAGACGGCGTTTAACCAGTATGCTCAGCGTGGGAACAGTGTTCACTTCTGCTTGCTACGTCTACAGCGACTGGAGTCAGTTGACCTGCCACTCCGTGGTCAATTACAACGCTACAGACGTTTGTTTACCGCTTTTCGGACAGAAATGGAAGAAATTGCCACCGCCTACACACTTTACTGCGAGGTTCCACCGCTTGATCGTGGAATGCCACCGTTTGCAGGTAACGACTTTTCTCTGTTGTTTAGGTAACTACCGTAGGTGCGTATTGAATAACTGGCTTACGATTTGCATAACCTTAGTTATCAAATTTAGTTCACATTTTTGTCTGCAACCCTCAACCGTTAATAAGTTCTCGTGGATCATTTTTGACGTATTAGTAAACCGTGGCCAACCACGACACAAACTCCCTGCACTTTCTGCCATCCCAACAGGTCGAATCGCTTGGGCTCGTCGATATTACATGCGTTTGTCACACCCAATGTCCATGTTTTGGAACCACGTACCTTCTCTACGAGACACTAAAGAAATTTACAAGGGAATTGCACGTTACAACCGTGTGGCGCAGGTTTTAGTTGCCTACGAAATACTGACGTACAGAAACTGGAAGTTACAGGTGAGATGCATTTAGTCAAAAACTGAATCTCTCTGATTCCGTCCCATCATTACCGCCTTACATTGCATACACCGCCCATTCACTGGGTAATACTGGTGTAACCTTCGCGTTTCTTGAGAGGTGCGCTTGCCAGATTGCCTGAAGAGTAGAGGTCAGACGAGTTCAGTCTCCAGCTCCCCTCCAAATCACGGGTTGACAGTGAGATTTGCGTGAAATTGTCCTATCATGTGAGTCGTAAACTTTCCGTTACCTTATAGTCAGACTTTCGAATCAAAGGATTTGGTTGAGGGTCACACTCGTACTCGCGCCTATTTCTAAGTGCTGTGCCAGCACCTCACATCCCGTTTAACTATACTTTGATCATAACATATTCACCTCTTCCCTACATTGACAATCGGACAGCTGCTGAATGGTCATAGTATATGATATTTACAGCTAGGTAGCTGGGCAGAAAGTAGGTGCTGTAACTCTATTCCTTATTTTGCCACCCGTTCCTCCTTTACCCCTCATATATATATATATATACATATCAAATTTTCCTAACGAACCTTTGGCAGAGTACCACAACACTTGAGTAACAACAACAAAAAGGAGGAAGTGAGAGTCGGGGGAAGTGATGCGAAGTTCTATGTGCTGTGTGGGAACTGAACTTCCTGGTTGCCCAGGCCGAGGAAGAGGGTTGACTTAATGGACCACACCCCGAGCTTCTTGTCTTAAAGACCTGATCCGCAAGACAGCGGGGCAGATACGAAGACCATTGACAGGCAGGTGGCTCATTCGCCTACTTAGTGTTCGGTTGCAGTCCACAGAGAAGCCAATGACCAGCAAGGTTGTTCATCCGCCCACTGTTAGATACTCACCTCCAGGTACAGAAGGGAGTGGTCAGTGACCGTACAGCCGGTCCCATTGGCTTTGACACAGCGCCATACGAGCACCTGTTGTATTTGATGGAGAAACTGGTGACCAGCCCAGAACTCCCCACCCTTTGAGATGCTGCCGCTGATTGTTTGTTGCTGCTTATTCATCTCGCCTGCAAAACAGACTAGACTTATTCGCCGTTGCCTCCACAAGGAAGGCATTCCCATAACCGCAACCTGGGGACGCGCCCGATAGCGTACAGCTCCACCACGTATTTACCTCTCTTAGTCTTCATTATTAACCTTGCATCATCATGACCCCTCATAGTGAATAACAGACGCTACACCACTCGTATCTTGACACCTACATCCATGATCCCGTAGAGTCAAATAACACCACAAAAATACTTCTTCATATCCCACTGCTTGTTTTTTTTCCTGCAGTTAAACTGAAGCACACGAAGTAGCGCATTGGTCGCTCTATGTACTGACGCCTGCTGTATCTCCAAAGCTAGAACTGGTGGTGTTTATCTCGTTGGTAAACCAACCGCGTCTAGATGAATAAATCACTAGTGGTTTTATGTATCAGAATGCCGATCTAGTAGCAAGTTAAGCTGGGGCGGGCCACATCCTCTCCTCCATAGCCTAATGTTCTGACTTTCATCAGCTTTCTGTGAATGTTTGTTTGAGCCAGCCAGCTTGCCCTTGTCATCTAAAGAAGGCAGAGAAAGAAGTGCTAGATAACACAGTAGACCAAAGGAGATTCCTACCACCAAACTAAATTTAGCATACTTCATGGCGTAATCAGCTCATGTGTAGTTTTAATTGCTGTGAATATGCATACAGGTCACCTAGACTCCACAGAAGCTCTGTTATTTGCGATATTCAGGATGACATCCTGCCAATATGACAACCACGAATGTTTCTTGCGATTTTGCGTCCATCGTCGCTTGTTTCTAAGTGAAACTTACCTTAGGCATATTGGGTGCTGATGTGCCATCCAGCAACCTTCAGCAGCTGACCAGCGATAAATGTAGAGATATCAAACAACCTAGAAATGTACTTTGTGTTTTCATCTAAGCTGAGGCATAAAATACCTTTTGCTACTTTAAAGACGTGTTACGTGTTTAATTCTGAGGTGTCCGCCAATGTGTTCGAGTGGATATATTTATTTTACTAGCTAACCTTCACATTCTACCAGTTGCCTAAACTCCTAGGGGAAATAATTTAAGGTGGAGATAACTGAAATAGCTCTCTCCAACACTGCCTTGTTGAGAGGGCGTAAGGCCGAAACCCCAATTTGGATAGTGTCTAATTGATTTAACTGGCAAAGGCTTGCTTCAAAGCAAACCGTGAGGTTGCGTGTCGCAACCCGGTCACACGGTGGATATTCTAAAACCCAACAATGACTTTATGGTGAATTTGCGGCAGTTGTCTTCTAGAACCTCGACCACTTCTACGTATTTTTGCAGTAATATCCCAAGTAGTTACCGACAAATCACACAATTCGGAAACCTCCATCAGACTTGGTTTAATCCTTTGTTCATAATTTCCTAAACGCTCATATGACTTTCACTTCCTGTGCTCGGGCAAGGGTTGGGGACGGCTATTTTAGGCAGGCTATCCCATGTTGTATAGTTAGTTGATTCAACGGAAAGTTATCCGGTGCAGTTAGTTTAGACTCAGAATTAGACTGACAACAAGTAATGGCTGGTTCTACAGATTTTAATCAATCTTTGACTCGGATAGATTAAAGTTTTACGATCCGTTAATAAGTTGTTTTGTCTTAAACTCTCTGCACACAGCTTTTATCCTCTACACCTCAAGCAACTACACTCGGCCTAGGAGAAAGTACTTTAATACGTTTCCTTGCTACTGATTTCAGAAAAGAATTAGACTCACTTAGTTGTGTTGTGTATCGGGGCAATATTTAGAAACCATAGTCGTTGTGAGTTGTGTGTCACAGTGAAACTAGCGGGTGGAGTCACCTTGGTTCCAGTGTGAAAATGGCTGAGTAGAACCGTGACTTTCGTTGTGGCATCCTCAACTCTATCCTTGATCCATCAGTCACTCAGCTAAGGCTACCAACAAAATCACCATGGCCCGCCTACAGTTATACCTTGTACAGTGATTCTACGGCATCACAGTTTCGATCAACCATGACGAATTTATATTCTCAGAGAGTGCACTTATTTCTTTGCTCAACCTCTGACTATCTTAACGGGTCTAACAGGCAATAAGGCGAAATCGCTAATCCCTCTAGGGATTATAAAATCATATCAGTTTTAGGAAAATTCACATATGAAGATCAACCGATTGTACACACTCATCACATTTTACGTCTGACACCGTTCAGCTTGCTTCTTTGATTTATCACTGCGCGTGTCCCGCCCCATTGAAAATATTGCTACTCCGCACTTCTTCTAATTCTAATGAATGGGGATTTTGGGTCACATACAGGGTGGCTGGTTATTTTGCCTCGATACGGCTTCATTCCATCTTCGAGGTCCCTTGACTCTATAAGTCGGAAGTACTCAACGGTGTGAAAAAATGTTCCATGGCGTTTTATCGAAATATAGTAGAACCTAAGTTGACCACCACTATAATTTGACCGTCTTTTCATGGATTGCATGTTCACTATATAAACCTTAAGGAACCAGATCTCTGTATCTTAATAATCTCTGTGAGTTTTGTGTTGACCTTTTGGGTCATGACAATCACTACTAATGTAACCTCTATAAGTTGACCATGTGTAGGTTTACTGTGCAATGGTCGCCGATCGTTTGTTCAAGCAACAAACTGTGTGTAGCGGGATTTTGAAATGTGTGAGATTACTATGGGTCACAACTAATGCACTTGACGTCTTCACAGACCTTAATGACGCAACATGTTCTCTCTCTGTGTATGTGCGCACGTGCTTCTGCCCCACCCGACAGCTTTCACGCGCGTCGGTATCGACCTCGTTCAAGGTGTCCCCACGGCTCCGCGTCCACAAATGAATCTTGACCGTTTTTGTTTGCAGTCTTCACATACAGGTATGCAGTTCTTAATCAGGGGTTTGAGGGCCTGTCTGTTATTTGCTACCCTTGACGGATCCCCTCTACGTCAAGCTTTAAACGCATCCAATCGCTCATCAATGGCTCCGGCAACTTGCACGCGTCTTCCCGCACCTATTTAACAGGGCACCTCAATTGCGCGCAGGCGTCCTTCCTACGAAAATCACACGCTCCAGAGGCAGACCACCGCGTTCCCCACCCGATCTCAGTTGAGGCGGTTCATGTGGGCAACACGAATCAATCTCTCACATACCTCAATCTCGCAGCGTAACTCATGATGCACGCTGCAAACGGCACAATAACGTTGTCCACCAAGTTGCAATGTTTCTACGTTGCTGGGGATCTACAGTCATTCCAGGACCACGCATCTCTACGCAAACGACTTACATCAAGCCAGATCTATTCATCTGTCGGGACGCTACTATCTACGTGATGGATATTGCTATATGTGACGCACACCGGGTGGCCCAAACTTACCAACACAAAATTAACAAACACAGCATGGGCGATCACACAACGGCCATCAGCAACTGCACACTCGGAAAAATCTCCTCTATTGTACATTATCCGAACCGTCGCGACGAGACTGGACCTTAACGTGGTGCGACGGTTTGCGTACCTCATTGACCCATTGAGCTATACTGGGTGATGTCTCCGGGCACCTTGAGAGCTACTCATACCAGGCTGGTCAATGGTGAGAAGTCAAACAAATCCAATCCCTTGGTCCTCCAGGTTGGAGGTTTGAAATGGGATGGCGTCCATTTATGTAAAACTAAATCATTGCCACCTCTCCGCTGCCTTGCGGATAGGCTTTTGAGCCAAAGGCTTTGGATGAGGACCCTAATCGTCCTCCTGTCTAGGTCTGGGCGCCCTGGCAGTATCTCAGCCCACATACAACCATGACATTTTCTTCAAACATAAACTTCACCCTGCACCGGACGTCGCGCAGATTATCAAGGGTCGCCTTATCTGCTGCATACAGCAGGGCGGATAAGCGAAAACATGCTACTGCTGGCGCCTCCCTTCTTTCTTTTCCACCTTTTTCTCTTACTCCCATCCCGACCCCCTTACTAACCTTCCTTCTATA